CTCAACATAGCATAATCCAAGGCATAATTTGCATGGAGGTAACATCATATAACATAACATTCTCATCCACCTCATTGCATGACAGGTTAGCAAAACACATAGCCATAATCATACAAAGTAAGGTGACACTCTAATATAATGAATTGCAAAAGCTACCTTTAATGCTTTCCTTCCTTTTGAACTCTTTTCTCTTGACTAGATCTTTGCCTCTTTGTTGTGTATAGCCTATTAGGCAATCAATGACACAACATTAAATATCATTGCAACTCCATAACTTAACATAACCCCTTAAATCCCTTTTTTCTTAACTTTTAGGGTTTATTTTTTTAGCTTTGATTCTTGAACTTTCTTGGGCCTTTCCTACATGATTTTCCATGTAGAATCCATTTATCATTTTAGTTTTATGAAAATTCAACTCCTTCCCATTGAACTTGACTTGGCCAAACCATAGGGATAAATAGGTTCAAAATTTTCATTTCAATTTTTAATGCTTCCAACATCCCTTTCTTGGTATATACCTACACTAAATCATCATTTAAACTCATTGGAGCATCAAATTGAATTGAAATATGTTCCCTCCTACATTTCTCAATTTGGTCGAACCATATATATAATTATAGGGAAAAGGATTCTCAACAAAACTAACATGTAATCACTTAATCATTAACCTTTAACCATGCTTAATCTTCATCTAAACCATTCCCTATCATTTTGATAAAATTTGGGCAGCACTTCCCCTTAGGAAAATGACTTTCTATCATCATTAAAATAGCCCAAAACTAACATACCATCATTATAACTTGAAATAGAAGAGTTGTAGAAGCTTACCTTGCTTCCAAATGACTTTCTTTCACTAGAATTCTTCTCTTTCTCTCTCTACACGAAAATTTGCAAGAGGTTTCCTACTTGAAAGGTCTTGCATGAAATGAACATATGAGGGGGTATTTATAGGCTTCATATTTCACTAATTCCACATATGCCCTTCTTGCATAAGACTTAATCTTAGCCCTCCAATTTTTTTTACCTCTTTCCACAAGTACAAATCTTAGGCTATGTAACTTAGTATGTTGACACTTGGATGATGAGTCATTAGGGCTTATGTCATCTCTTCTTATCCATTAAGATTAATTAGGCCTTAATCAAGGTTAACTCTCTTAATTCCTTGATTAACTTAGCTAATTACCCTTCTAAGAAACTTTTGATTTTCAAAGTTAGATGGTTAAATCCTAGCCATCCAATGAATTATGTTTGCCATGTGTCAAGATCTTATGGAAGATGGCTTAAACCTTAACCATCTTACTTATCCCTAATTAGATTTTAATCTAATTTTATTTATTATTTTCTTTTTCTTTTTCTTTTCTTCTTCCCTTTCTTGGCCAATTTGGGCGTGACATGTGTCCTTGGCAATTTGTAGGAAATTTTATCATCTCTGTTATCCTGACAGTCCACTGAGTCTTAATACAGTACTAGTTTATTTTATATGATAGCCAAAAAATTTTAGTACCTCAAAATTCTTATTTCAGCTCACTATTAATTATATCTCAGTAAAAGGAATTTTCCTGATTTATTTCATAATTTTTCTCCCTGTATAACTCTTTAAATTGCCGTTTCTGTAAATACAAACAATCTACCGATATTAATTTAGCTCTAAATTCAATTAAAGCTAACCTCCTCATCATTTATGATTGGAATTTATTTTATAAATTTCCATAATTCCTATATAAATTTCCTATAAATTTTCATAATTTTCTGAGATCTCTAGATATTTTTAATAATTAATATTGGCTAATTTTTCTTAATTTAGCCAGAATATTAATAATTAAAATAATTTTTTCACAAATTTTTTTCAACTTGTATTTACTTTCTAGATCTCAAATACTGTTCTATGGTATTAATTCTATTTTCCATGATTTACTGAAAAGTTTTAGGATTTCTGGACACTAATTTTGATAATGCCTTTTATAGACCAATCATTTTAAAAATGACAATTTGGTCCTTTTTCAGTTCTCACTTCAATTGTTGTGTTGTTTATCTATCTTTTATCTCACCTGGCCTTGGTCAACCCTAAATCTTTCATTAATCATACTAAAGATATCAGGGTATGACATATTTCCCTATTTCTAGGTTAGAAATTTTGGGATGTTACAACATGCATTGACAACTTAGTAGCAAGGCAGAAATAGATGACATAGCAAGAAATGACAATAGAAAAAGCTTATTCAAATTAAACTTGCACACCTTGCTCCTCCGTTACATCATCCCTTGTTGCTTCTATTTGTTCCTTATTTTCATTGTCTTCTATGTACATATGACCACTTTCTTCATTGACCTTTATCAAATACTCTACCCCATAATCATCTACCAACTCTCCAAATATATTTTTATCAAACATAACTGGGAACTTTAAAACAAATGAGTTACTTTCTTTTCCAAGAATTAAATGATATAGTTTCCTTCCACTCTTCATAACTTGTCCCTTCTTATATACTTGTTGTTCTTACATTACCTCCAACATATCTCATATCATCTTCTCCATTATTTATAAACTTACTTCCTATATGGGGGAAAAAAAGATGCTTTCTAAATGTACTTGCCATTGTTAATATAAACCTGCATCAATAATCACGCAGCTGTCATTAACAAGTAAAGCAACAATATTGATAACTACCGTGGCATACAATGACAACTAACGTTACTTTTATTGACAACACAATATCTCATTTCGTAGTAAGGGTTTTTACCCATACCAACCTTATCTTTTTCAATCTTTCCCACTAAACCATACTAAAACAAAGCAAAACCACCCACATTATATCAAAAAACAGAGCAGCACTTGTTATCATCTTACCCATCCACAATGAAACCCCAACTTAAATCACCAACCCATACCAAACAAAAACATAGCCTTTTGATTAATTAGCTTGTTCATATTAGACCAAAAACAAAAGCTTTGCAATAAGTAAAGACAAAAACAATTTTCTCAATTTCCATACCAACCACAATTTGTCAAGCAAAATGATGTAGGAGAGAAGAGGAAATAAAGTTCCAAATATGAAAATCTATAGAAATTAAAATGGAAGTTCTTTGAAATTCACTAACAGTGGTGAGGAAGATACTTCATTATCAATGACTGCTTCCTCTTTTTTTTTTTTTTCAGGTCTTTTCTCTCATGCATAGCAGCTTCAAACACGAGAAAACTCAATGCCTTTTCCTTCTACATTGCTGCGTGGACAATAATGTCTTTTTAACTTTCTTATTATTGCAGTCAAGTCTTTTTAGGAATTGTGATTAATTATTAGATTTTTAGGGACTTGGTTGCTGTTATTGCCTTATATGGGACCTCAATGCAATTTTTCCTAATTTCTAACCACATGTGAATTTAAATACGTGAGCCCCTTTCTTAACATAAGCGGGCCACATAATATGTCGAGAAATTGCTTCCTGCCTTTTTCACGCCCTTCTTTTCCAATTATGGGCCCTTTCTAATTTTAAGCTTTGTGTAGAGATTTTGGCAAATTCTTGACCCAATTAGGGATGAATTCATAATTAATTCTTTTGGCAATTTCTAACTGCAAAAAAATGATGGGTTATTATTATTGTTTTTGGGAAGGGTTTTAAGGTAATTTCATATTATTCACAATAAAATAAATACCCATTTGGCACCCAAAGGATTCAAACTTACAACGGACAACAAAGTTCCACTAGACTACCAATAATTAAAGGGAGAATTTCACTGTAGGACCACAGAAGACAGTTAATCTCAAAGAGCCCCTAAAACTTTCTGAAACCTCACTGCAGGACCAAGGGGCCAATCTGATATTAATTCCACAAATGAAATGACGCCACTGCCCCTAGTAGAAACTTATTTTCTTGAGGGAACAAGTGCGGGAGAGCGCATTTGCAAGGGGAACTAGCCAATTTGCAGAATAAATACATATATTCACACGTGGAATCAGTCCGTTTACATGTGGACTGGCTCACCTGATGCATGCGTCCGTGAGGGAACAAGTGCGGGAGAGCGCATTTGCAAGGGGAACTAGCTAATTTGCAGAAGAAATACATTTATTCACACATGGAATCAGTCCGTTCACATGTGGATTGGTTCAGCTGAAGCATGGGTCCATGAGGGAACAAGTGCGGGAGAGCGCATTTGCAAGGGGAACTAGCCAATTTACAGAATAAATACATATATTCACACGTGGAATCAGTCCGTTCACATGTGGACTGGTTCACCTGAATCATGTGTCCATGAGGGAACAAGTGCGGGGAGATCGCATTTGCAAGGGGAACTAGCCAATTTGCAGAAGAAATACATATATTCACATGTGGAATCAGTTTGTTCACATGTGGACTGGTTCACCTGATGCTAAGGGTAGTGGCGTCATTTCGCTTGTGGAATTAATATCAGATTGGTCCCTTGGTCCTGGAGTGAGGTTTCAGAAAGTTTTGGGGGCTCTTTGAGATTAATTGTCTTGTGCGGTCCTACAGTGAAATTTTCCCACAATTAAATGATTGCTTTAAAATTTTATTATATTTTTATTTTTAATTTTTTTAGAACATGGGCCTAGAAGTATGATATGTTACTAATGTGTGTTCTGTGCCTATCTTTAAGTACTTCTCGTATAGTGTGTGTGTGTGTATTAAAACAAAGGTATTTCAATATTTTAGGATATTTTAGCGGGTATTTCGAAACTAACAGAATAATATTTATAATAATCAAACAAAATATTTTAGTTCTATATTTTTTGTCATATTTGAAGAGTTTCTGAAAAAATACTTGGAGAATAAAATGGCATACACTGGATAGAATATGTCCTATGCATAACGAAATACAATATAATTTTTCATGATAAGTACATTCAATTTGTAAATGAAACATAATTTTCCTAAATTATATAAACTTTTATTGAATTAAATATTTTTATCTATGTATTTTTGTGATTTTTAATAGCTTACTACATTTCAAACTATTATTACAAAATAATTTGTTATGCATAATATAACATGAACAGATCACCCACCATTAACAGTTGAGACTAGCGGAATAAAAATACAAAAAGAAAAGAAAAGAAAACAACGAACCCCCGGTCTCACATGACTATATTAAGCATAAACTTCTAACCAAATACAAAAACAGTCAATTTTACAATTTTGTTCATAATATTTTAGTAATGCCAGATTTGAAGAGGAATTGACCTATGATGAGCAACAAAGCCCTCCCCCCCCCCCCCAATCCCCACTTCTCTCTGCTGTGCTGTCATATATCGATTTTAATTTGATCAAATGGGCACGAAGAGAATTGAAATAGCTGGGAATTCAATTCATTGCACAAGCGACTATTATCTTGCACTGAAAACTGGTTCTGCATCGGGAGTTGATTGTGTTCTTCGAGTGTATTTGAGAAGCAAAGCTTCTGAAGTAAGACCCGGTACGTTTAAATCCCTGAAACATTCCCAAAGATGAGTTAATTTCAAATGGAAAAGGATGATATAGATTCAAGGCGAATGTGAAAACTGAAGAGATTTATATTAAAAAGTTTTGATTCCACATTGAAAATAATAAAAATAATGATTTTGGCAAAAGCGAAGCAAGCTTCCCAAAGAAAAACACATGATTTTGATTGTTTTCAACAAGAAACCAAGCACGCTTTTATGCTAATCTGTAAGAAATTTAAACCTGATATAAGGCTGCAGATCTTTCCAATCCCACTTTTTCCGTTCTCTGAAAAGGGAGAAGAAACGTTCCGCTGGAGCGGAGGGCAAAGATGAAACACTAAAGGCATGAATCCAGGTCTCAACACCAACCCTTTCAGTCAAAACCTCTCCTTCCAAAAGATCTAAGGCGGGTTGCATGCCCTCTGGAATTTTCTGCCTCCATTCATCCATGAAGCTCTCCAACTTTTTCTTTCCTCCTCTCAGAATTTCCCTCGCAAACTGCACACACACTCGCTGGTCATCCAATTTCCAGATACAGCTACCAAGATTATCAGTTACTTTCTCTCCAAATGCATGCAAACAGTGTTTTGCAAGTACCCTTGGAAATCCATCTGATTCCAGAATATTCACAACTTCATCTTCATTAAGAGCATTAAGCGACCAGTCATTCAACACTGAATTGTGCAAAAGCATTCTTAGAATGGTGCACATGTAACTCTCATCCACTAATCTCCAATGCCCATTAATCTCAACAGCAGAAAGTGCCCGAAGTCCAGACCTTATTTCATCATCACTAGCTTGAATATTGTTAACAAGGTCATTCCAATTGTATAATCCTATTCTAGATTCGTGGTTGCCTTCTAAGTTTTCTACTTCTAACTCGTCACACCTGTAAGGGTTCTCTGAAAGAAGCGACTTGAGTTTATCAAGTCTAGGAGCAACCTCAACAAGCTCCATGCTACCAGATACAACTTTGATCACAGATGCAACAGATTTTTGGTCATGGTGATTATGACTATCACTCTCTTGTGGAGGTTGATGGTATTCTAATTGATTTGGTGGTACAAGGAATACAGAATTGGAAGTTCCAACAAACTTGATAGAATAAGTTTTGGACGAAGTGCAAAGAACAGCATCTTCATTTGGCTGTCCTCTTAGAACCACCCTGGAATAGAGTACAAAACCATCAACCAAAGTGGAATAGGACGGCAGGGGAATAGTAATGAACCTGTAAAACAGACTCTTGGAATCTAATGTTAGCCATTGCTTACCTTTCATGTAGAACTTCTGGGAGAAGTTTCTCATCAAGCTCTAGGAAGATGAGATCATCATGAGAACCAAAATGAGGATGATAAGCAACAGAAATTGAAGATCCAGGAGAGAGATGAAGGAGTGCTTCTGCTCCTCTAGAAACCAGTTGTGGTTCTTCCATTCTCAACCTCACCAAGTACAAACTATGAGAGTGAACTCTACAGGCAAGAGTCAAGCATCACCCTTGATAGCAAGAATATGCAGGCAATTTGATCAAAGCTTAATTTCAGAACTTTTACGAGGCACATTCACCAATGAGCATTAACTGCATCAACATACGAGAGATAATAGAAACTTGCATGAAACGCTACAAATGCTATCAGATGTGTACTTCTGTAAGGTAAACAAATAAGCAATGAATAAATTTTTTTTTTTTTTTTAACTTCCAATAGGCGGCTATAAATTTAAAAGAAAGAATCGGTTACACGTATTAGGCATCCATTCATTAAATGTTAGAAGATTTACTATTTTATACTTATTTCTTGGCATGTGAGGTGCAAAACAAATATCAAGAACCTCTTCCAAACAAACAGAGGATATGCTAGTTATTGCAGTGAAGTGAAAATTTTAACAACACCAAGACACGTAATTCTGTTACAAATTCAAAGTTCAAGATAAAATTCCATGTTTTACAGGATGAGTAGATAACTAAATTAAAAAATTTCAGCATAGAAGATGAAAGTACTAAAGCCATAAGCAACAATGGCTGCTTGCCCTTACACACCGAAATTATCATACAGTGTAGATTAGATTGTTAAAAACCAGGGTTTATGGTTGCTTTGCATGGCATGACTCCAATGATAAGTGAAGGTGATCTCCCCCAACCCTGGGGGAACTTGGAGGAGAGAAAAGAAAATAGAAGGTGCAAACCAGTAAAATTAGTAAATAAGAATTTATCCCTTGCAAATTTTCCCACTTAAGACTAGTGAATTTCAATCTCAATAAATCCCAAAATGCATGCAAATTTAATCCGTGATAGGGTGCCAATCATAAGGTGCATGTGAGGAGGCATAAGCTTTGAGTACAGGGTAAAAGAAGCACAGGTAAATGGTTTGACAAATTGGCCAGAAAGCAATAAAGGGCAGCTGAGGTGCTTCTCTAGTTCTAGGTAGAGTTTCATAAGAGTTTTTTATGGCATGATACTAAGGGAATGAAATACCAGAAAGGGCCAACTAATTATTTAGGAGTACAGGAAAGAAGCCAATCTAAGCAGTGTATGTGTACGGGATATGATACAATATGATATGTTAGGAAAATGCCATGCCCTTTTTATTTATTATTTTTTCCATTTCTAATCCGTCGGATCCTATTGATTAATATGACATCAAGTGACGTTATAAAATTATCCATGAAACCCTGTATAAATTTTCAATTTCAATCACTTTAGACATTAAACTTCTCAACATATTTTAATGTATAAATCTAATTTATAAACTTATAATAACAGTGTTTGTATTTAACATAAATAGAAATTGAAGGAAATAGAGATAAGTTTAACTTACACAAGGTTTTATAAGCAAATTCTATTAAAAAAAAATTATTTTCCATAATATGAAATAAAAAACAAAAAAAAATTTCATAAACCTTGATTTGTCAGAGGAACCGACACATTTTATCTGTAATTTTTTAAAATTTTAAAATAAGGGCCTAGAAATATGACAGGTCACTAATGTGTTTTCTATGTGCCTGGCTTCAAGTACTTCTCATATAATATAATTGGTTATATTATAAAAAGCGTATTTCAATTATTTAGAATATGAATCTGAGCATCTTAAGTTTTTAACAAGTATTTTAAAAATAATATTATGATACTTATAATAATCAACCAAAATATTAATTTTTTTCAAGTCATATTTGATGAGTTTCTGAAAAAATATTTTAAGAAAAAAATAGTATACAAAGGATAAAATATGTCCTACGTATATCGAAGTACAATATAATTTTTCATGATAGGTACACTCAATTTGTAAATGAAACATAATTTTCTTAAATTATATTGAATTAAATAGTATCATCTATGTATTTTTGTGGTTTTTAATATCTTCCTATATTTCAAACTATTTATACAAAATAATTTGTTATGCATAATACTCTTTCGTCCTAAATATAAGACCCATTTTGTAGTGTAAATTACATTACAAAATGAGTCTTATATTTAGAACTAGAGGAGTATAACATAAAAAACATATGTCCCACCATCAAGAGTCGAGACTAGTGGAATAAAAACATAAAAATAAAAGAAAAGAATACAACGTATCTTGCTTACATAACTTTCATGATTTACTATATTAAGCATAAACTTCTAACCAAATAGAAAACAGCCAATTTTACAATTTTGCTCATAATATTCTAGAAACGTAATATTCTACTCTAATGACTCAGATGGGAGCAGATTTATTAATTGCGGCTACTCCGTGCTTTAAAAGGGTGAAGTTTTAAAATTTTTTAATCTAACTTTGGCTCAAAACTTATAACTTTGAATTCGGGAAGTTTTATGCTTTAAAATAAGACTCAGATTCGCTCCCAATCTACCTGTTAGCAATGTCTATTTATCAGAGCCATACAGGTTTTACTTCTAAAATTCTGCTTCTCTCTAGCAGCTTTAATAAACCATAACTTATAAATTACACATCAATTTCATCAATTATACAGCCTCATGACAGCAACAAGTACTAGTCAATTTTCCCAATTAACATTTTCTTAAAGTTCGAACATTAAATTTCCTTCACTGTCAATAAGACCCATAAAATTCCAATAAGCAAAAATGTCCTTAGTTTCAAATGCTAACAGTTTCATCCTCATTAACCCACGGATAGAAGCAGCAAACCCCATGCTTTATTATCTTGAATCACTTGCTGAAATCTTTCGAAGTCCTCAAACAACAATTAAATCACTTTTAAAATTTCACAATTCAATTCATCACAAAGAAGCTTTAGGCATAACTAATTTATCTTCATAAATTCACAGCAGCACATATATATGCATGAAGACAGTAAAGGAGTGGAAGAAGAGCATAATTAATTTCAATCCATCAACTCGGTCGGCCATTTGACAGGACGTAAATCATACACACTTGATTTACCCATACTTTTACAAGTTTACATCAACTTTTAACCATCAAATCTTTCAAACAGTAGCACTAATATAACCTGGAAATTATTTTCTAGTTTCATAACAAATACATATTTTTAATTCTTTAACCATTCAGCTTACACAGAATGGCTCCCCTGAAGATTTTAGCCCTTATATCAGATGTTAAATCATCATTCAAGAGTCTCTTGACCCAACTTATAAGTTATTAATAATGGCTTAACATCCAGAAGCATAAACCAGCAAGTTCTCATGCATTATTCAGTTCCAATTTTAACAATATATCATATAAACTACAACTCAGCAGATTCCAATTTCAAGAACACTGTTTCGATCATTATTTAAGCATCCTTAGACATATTTTAACCCCTTGAATCTCTGGTTTAACATTCAAGAGCCCCAAACAGTAATTTATAATCAGTTTTCAAGCTCAACAATCCTAATCCCCTGACTTATAGCAACATACAATCATATAATTCTCATTCAATCTCCCTGCTTCAACATTTTGGAATCCCTTTAGAGACTCTTATTTAATATCAATGACAGCAGTATCACAATTAAATCATTTCCCCTTAGCTCAATCAAGAACGAACCCGAATGCAAGTGTACGTGTGCATTTATATATCAAAATAAGGGAACTTACAGATTCAATCGGCCTTCTTACATAAAGATTAAATTTTCAGCAATTATATAAATATATATGTAGTTCTTATCCCTAACTCAACTATTCTTTTAATTTCTGAAAATCAATAATGCTGGCACAAGAATTTCTTTTAATTTCTGAAAATCAATAATGCTGGCACAAGAATTTCTTTTAATTTCTGAAAATCAATAATGCTGACACAAGAATTCGAATGTTTCCTGTAGGCGAGGAGCCACAGATTCTCAAATCCAAAAACCAATGGCCAATGATCAACACGCAGTCACATAAGAGACATCAAAACAAAGTCAATGTTTACTAATCAATTTTATTTTTCAACTACCCAAGCTTTAATCTCCACCAAATCGGTGATTTCTGTCCCAACTGAACCCATCTCATCGGTTCCAGAACTCAGAAAGCTTCAAGAATACAAATCTTGAAAAATATATATATATAGTTTAATAATTTAGGATTTCCCTTAGCATCCGAAAACACAAACCACAAATGACAACCGATTAAATCTTCTTCTGAGACAAGCAACTCGGTCCTTCACCCGTATCAAAATCTTACATACATATTTTAAATTTTGCAACATTATAGTTGCACAGCAACGAGAGAGAAATCTCTTCCGTAAATGACTATGATTCAGAGGAGGGAAATAACTTGAACAATATGAACACACACACAGAAACAACAAGCATCAGGTTTGGAAATGACAGAACAGAATCAATCCAACACATGCAATAATAGATACTAACTTAATCTATCTCTAGTCATAGTTTTGAACCTTTAGTCATTATTTTCCCTCACTCAGAACCAGAATCCAATCACCCCTTTCCCACTGAAATTATCTAATCGAAGAAATAAGAGATGGGAGAAGACTAAGGGGTCTACCTTGGTTCGAAAACCGACTTGCACGTAATCAAGCACCTCCCCGAAAGCTTCCTCTGCTTCGGTCTCCGTCTCTCTCGGTCTCTCCCTCTATTTCGCACTCTCCCTCTCTTTCTTTTACTAATGTACTTCCATCAGGCTTATCGGATACGGTTCTTGTCCAAGAAGAAGAGAGGCGTGTTGAAGAAGCTTAGAAGAAAAGGATGTGGCACGAAGGCAGGGAGGGAATCGGGGAGGTGTCGAAGAGGAAGGGTCTGAGGGGAGGGATCCTTCAGATGACGACGAGGAAGAAGAGTGAGAGAAAAATGCAAGGACTGTTTTTTATCTTTAGTCTGTCCTTTTCTAAAAGTTTACATTAATCTTCACAAATTAATTTTTAGTACTTTATAAGAGATTTCTTTCTTATTTAGCTTCCTTAGCACATAAATAATTGGAAAAATTCCAGAAAAGGTCCCTCGAATATATGAAATCCCAGATTGGGTTCTGGAATTTCGAAAATGACAGAAAGGGTCAGTGACCCAATCTGTCATGAGACCAATTGACAATTTTGCCCCTGACTAAGTGAGTAGTTATTCTCTACACAAATCTAGGTAACGCTTACACTGTTCTAGTGATTACAAGATTAGTTGTAGTTAATAATTACAAGATTAGTTGTAGTTAATAATAAGGTGCTTGACTATAAAAAAATGAGTAGTTATTCTCTACACGAATCTAGATAATACTTACATTGTTCTAGTGATTACAAAATTAGTTGTAGTTAATAACAAGACACTTGAATATGAAAAAACGAATAGTTATTCGTTACATGAATCTAGGTAATGCTTAAACCCTTATAGTGATTTCTTAAATCATTGTAGTGAATCAATACAAAAGAGGGCAAAATTGTCAATTCCTTTTGATTTGCCAAATGACAGATTGGGTCACTGACCCTTTCTGTCATTTTCGAAATTCCAGGACCCAATCTGGGATTTCATATATTCGAGGGACCTTTTCTGGAATTTTCCCTAAATAATTTTCCTAAAATTTTTCAAATTAGAAATTAAGATGTAACTTTTTTTTTTTTAAGAAATAAACCTTTGATTTAGGAAATTAGCTTTTAAATTATTTCTACTCTTTTTTTAAGAAATAAACTCTTTCATAAACTCCTTTAATTCCCAAAATGATTATCGATAATTTTTTTCTTAATTATCCTATGCCTTTATATATATATATATATATATATATTTAATAATTATTACCTTCTTGATTTTTCTGCATTTCCGGCTCTAAAATAGGCTTTTATAGAATAATTATTTTCCTGAAACTTTAAATGATTCTTTAACTCTCCTAGGCATCTTATTAACCTTTTTGCTTCAAAATCTAGGATATTACAAGTAATGCTAGATTTAAAGAGTAATTGACCTATGATTGTTAATGGTAGTTTTATCCAAGAGATGGGTGAATTGGGTGAAGTATAAAAATTTGATGTAATAAAACAACTAAGCACATAAAACTGAGGAGAAGAGTTAGGAGAGTTTCACCGAAGAATGAAGACATCGAATTTTATACTAGTTCAGTCTTAACCACCTGACTTACATTCAGTTCTCAGAATGCCACTGAAGTTTCCACTAAATCTCCAAGATTAAGCGGGCTTTTGGTACCTCAATACAATAATTGAATCACTCAATCACTCTCCCTTACTACCCATAAGGTTACAATCCCCTCAAGAGTCCACACTCTTGAGTTACACTCAGAAAATGAGTAATGTAAAGTGTATCAAGCTCTCTTACAGAGTATATGAATATTAAACACTAAAGTTCTGTAAAACAGAGTATTGAATGCAATAGTAAATTTCAACAGACGGCAGCTCACATATTCAATGTTTCATTCAATGGCACTGGTATTGAGCTTTAGAGGTACTTGCAACTGGCTGTTTTCCTTTGTCCTTGTGAGCCAGTTTCTGTGAAGGTCTAAATGGCACTGGTATTTTCATCTTGTTGAGCTAATTTATTCCAAACATAGGAGCCTTCACTTTGACTTCCTCAAGCTCTAGTGGTGCAATGTTGTGCACTTGAAGGAGGTATGTGGCCAGCTAAGGATAGGGAATAGGTGTGGATTTAGATTTGTTGAGAGTGAAATCCTTCATCTCACTATAGATCATAGCCCTAATATTGATTTTCTCTCCACTAATGATTCTGGCCAGTAAGAGGTAGTCATCCTCATTCAAATGTGAAAAGTTGCCAGACTTATTCACCATGCTCCTTGAGTAAATATAGTGAATTATTTGATAATAATCACACATTTGCTTTGGAGGAAATTCAACTTTCCAGTGTAGTTATCACTCTGCATCAAGATCTTGTAGGCTTTTATATCATTCATGTCACCTCCTCTGACATGATCTTGAGTCCCTAGAAGCTCATTTATCTTTGCAGAGGTAGAATTAATAGTTCTGTCTCTAAGTTTTGTTGTGAGATAATTACTCACCAAATTATTTTATTCATCATATTCTTCAATAGATTCCATATTGCAATAAAATCTTTTGACCAGTTCAGGGTAGTACTCGCCACCAATACTTAACCAGTTAGTGAAGTATTTTAAGGGGTCACTCAAATCCAATCTAATTTTCTCATTATTTTTCAAGCTGTCCAGATTCATAAAGACCATGAGGCAAAATTTTGGTGTTGCAAAATCCGCCTTAAACTTTATCATATTCACATCTCTATCCAGATTTGCAATCAAAAACTCAAATGATTCAGATGGAATACCTTAGGTAGGATTTTGTTGAGACACATCTTCAGTGGTTCTCTGTTTCTTGTGCCTCGATCGTCGAGGTACTGGGATATTCAATGCTGTGTCCACAGCTTTCTAAACTGAGATTTCATCACTGGCCTCAGTTTCTGATTCCTCAATCACTACTGGTAACTTGGATTTTGACCGTGGTGACCTTCTTTATGGTGTGAGTTGTTCAAAGCTTTTAGTTCGGCTTTCTCTAATTTTTAGTACCCCCTTTTTCTTTGATGATTCTTGCCTCACCTTGGGTCTGTATCTCTTCTTGGTGGACAAGGGAGTAACTTCTTTGAACTTGCTTCTCAGTACTTTCTTCTCGGTCGCTTTTAGCTTATTTGACTCTCGCCATTAGAAGTTCGATGATTTGTGAGTTTGAAGAGATTGGCAATAATTGAAAGGGCCTAGAGGGTGATTTCAAGTGAAGTATAGTGGGAAATTTAATGGAACAGTGGGATATTGGACCGTTGCGTGAAACAGGGGTAAGCAGTTTATTGAGTTAGGGTTTTGAAAAACTGACGAGGTTTTCAAATTCTGAACATTATAAAGCCGAAAATGATCGATCAATACATGATCGATCAAGTGATCGATAAATATAAAGAACAATTAAGAACACTGAGAGCAATTATCGATCATGTTATCGATCAATCAATAATCGAATACGTTATCAATAAATATTCAGTAAAAGTCATACTTGTTCTGGTTTATTGATCATGTGATTGATTAACAGTTATTTGATCAATTTATCCATAATCCTTACCTATTTGACTGATTTAACCGAGAGTCTCATTCTACAATTGATCGATACATTGCTCGATAATTGAGTGATCGATCGGGTTATTGATAATTCTGCTCCCTATCATTTCTAGTAAGTTTCATATGTCTTGTTGATTGATGAGCTGATCCATAATTTGGATTTATCAATCAGGTGATCAATAAATTAAGGTGTCTTCAAGGCATGGTTATCGATGCCTTCATCGATCACATCTTACTTTGTTCACCTCTATTTTTCAGCATCCGAACAGAGCTTCCTACAAAACAAATTTCTATCCACTCTGATGCTTATGTTAGTCTTTTAATCATCAAAACTTTAAATCTAAATGCTCTAACTAAAGAAGTAATGTCAGATTTCTTACAACTCATTGGGATTTACCATTCCCAATTCTCTTCTAAAGTAATTGAATTTCTGTTGATCGAGAGGCTTTGTGAATATGTCTGTTATCTAATATTCAGTGGGAATAAATCCTACTTTTACATCTTTCTTTTGAATATGGTCCTAAATAAAGTGATGTCGAATATCAATATGCTTTGTTCGGGTATGATGAACTAGATTCTTGGACAAACTGATTGTGCTTGTGTTGTCACATAGGATTGGGATTTCCTTCAACTTGATTCCCAAATCTTGTAGTTGTTTCTTTAACCATAGGATCTGAGCACAACAACTGGTAGTGGCAATATATTCTAATTCTGTGGAGGATATGGCTATAGTGTTTTGCTTTTTGCTCGACCACGAGATAAGGTATCCTTCTAGAAATTGATATTGTCCACTGGTACTTTTTTTGTCTGTTTTATAGCCTCCATGATCAGCATCTGAGTATCCCATTAGATATTCTACTCCTTTCTTTGGATACTAGATTCCCAGATTTGGTGTTCTAACAAGATATCAGAGGATTCTCTTGATGGCTTCTTCATGTGATTCCTTGGGAGCTGATTGATATCTGGAACACATTCCCACACTAAATTGAATGTTTGGTCTGCTTGCTGTGAGGTAGAGTAGTGACCCAATCATTCCTCTGTATTTGGTTAGATTCACGTCTTTGCCTTTCTCGCCTGTGTCTAGTGATATGGTTGAACTCATGGGAGTCTTTACACTCTTTGCATTTTCCAAACCATATTTATTTAGCAGTTCTTTGAGATATTTCATCTAGGATATAGATATTCTGTTTTTCTTCTGTTTGATTTGTAATCCCAGGAAGCAATTTAATTCTCCCATCATTGACATCTCAAATTCACCATGTATTAACTTAGCAAGCTCTTAGCAAAGATCTTCATTAGTAGCACCAAATATAATATCATTTACATAAATTTGAACAATTAAAAGTTCTTTTCTATTTCTTTTGATAAAAAGCGTAGCGTCCACTTTGCCTCTTTCAAGACCTTTTTCTATCGAAAAATTGCTAAGTCGTTCATACCATGCTCTAAGTGCTTGTTTTAAACCGTATAAAGCCTTTTTCACTTTGTAAATGTGATCAGGGAGATTTGGGTATTCAAAACCAAAGGTTGTTCAATGAAAACTTCTTCCATGATATAACCATTCAAACATGCACTTTTAATATCCATTTGATATAGTTTAAAATCTTTTATGCAGGCAAAGGCTTAAAGTACTCGTATGGCTTCTAATCTAATTACTAGAGCATATGTTTCCTCATAATTAATACCTTCATCCTGATTATAGCCCTTAGCCACTAATTTGGTTTCGTTTTTGACAATTTGTGCAGATTCATCGAGCTTATTCTTGAGTACCCTTTTGGTGCCT